ATGGCTGTGGCGACGGTGAACCTCCGTGCCGTGACCTCCTGGGTGGGCATCGCCCGGCTCTGTGCCATCGTTCTGTCCTGCACTGCCTTCAGCTTGGTGGCCTCCACGGGGCACTTCGGGACTGCCTACGGGACATGGTGCATGTTCACCTGGTGCTTCTGCTTCGTCGTGACGCTGCTGGTGCTCGTGCTGGAGCTGCTGGAGCTCTACCCCAAGCTGCCGCTCTCCTGGGATGACTTCACCTCGGCTTTCTCCATGTTGGCGGCATTGATGGTCTTCACCACCTCGGTGGTCTACCCCTCCACCTTCATCGGTAGCCCTTGCACCAGCTACTGTGCCCAGAAGGCCGTGGCCACCACCGCCTCCTGCCTCTGCTTCCTCACCTACGCCCTCGAGGTGGGGCTCAGCCGCGCCAAGCCGGGGGACATCAGCAGCTTCCTCTCCACCGTGCCCGGGCTCCTCAAGGTCTTCGAAGTCTACGTGGCCTGCCTCATCTTCTCCTTGCTGGATACATACAATTTGCAAGCCGGCCTGCAGTGGTGCGTGGCAGTATACTCCATCTGCTTCATCATCACCTTCCTCATCATCATCTTCACCATTGGCCGGTGCCTCAGCTACATTCCCTGCCCCCTGGAGAAGATGCTTGTGGGCTACAATGCTCTGGCCCTGCTGATGTACATCACCGCCACCATCCTCTGGCCCTTCTACAACTTCAAGGACAAGAACCGCCCCAACCCCTGTGGCAGTGAGTGCCCCTGGAACAAGCACCTGGCGGTCACCTTCCTCACCATCTTCAACCTCATCGCCTACTTGGTGGACCTGATCTACTCTACCAGGATGGTCTTCATCAGGGCCCCTTCATAAGGGCTCCAGGTGGCCCTGGTGGGGCGAGGGGTGGTGGGACATGGCTTGGTGCTGGTGAGAGCTGCCGGAGGAGCGGAGGAAGAGGCAGGACGCCTCGGAAAGCTCCTTCTCCCCGTGCCGGAGCGGAGAGCCACGGGGTGCTCCCAGGGGACCCCAA